GGATCTTCACGGGTCTGGACTAGGAGGAACGTGATTGAAATGTGAACGAAAGTTTGGGATAATTTCGAGGACAGATGTGAGAATTCCGTATCAATTTGAAGCACTGGCAAGGAAAAAACATCCCCATCTTAACAAGGTTGACATGGGCTTGTCTATCCATACCCCTAGCCGAGGATGCTAAGCCGTCGTATTTGCAATATTGTGACTGAATTGTCCATCCACATTGTACAGTGAACGCAGACACGAGATCACAGAATAATGTCCCACATGGTGCATAAAAGTCTTACAGCGCATCTCCAACGGCGCGTCATATTTCTAAACAAACATACCTTCATAGAAAAAGATCACTAATCAATGCGCCGTTGATTAAACCCATGATTAAACTCATGTCCGCCCGTTACAGGGCTGATAAAACGCAAATTGAATAGCCACATGAGTTATCCCACCAGGTACCCATGTACCCTGCCGGATATAGAGGCAAATGAACAAACACTTGCCTGTATTCAGTGACGGGATATCAGGCTTGTTTCCAACGTAACGGTATAACGCCCGTGCCTCCCGTGGAGCGCTCAGCTGACAGTGCATTCTGGCAAGAAAACGCACGTGTCATCCCTGTTATCTGATACATTCACCTGGCCGTCACCTGGTTCGACGTATGTGCTACCTGAGCTGCCGTCGCCTCGTGGGACAGCGGATTGAATTTGAACCCTGGCCTCGAATATAGCCGTGGTGGTGCTAATTCCGTAATAATAACAATGAAAGTGACATATCGCGAAATCCAACCACAAAGTGGATGCTCAGGCGCTACAAAGTGAGGTTTGAGTTAATAGTACAGTGAAAAGAGATGCGTTGAAAGATGTGATCTGAACGCAATTAAAACATGGAAACAGTTTATAACGAGGAACAGACTATTCCACAGTGATGGCAACCACTGAAAGAACATTCTCAATAACAGGCCAAGGCAGTCTGTAAGAAGGAGTATTCAATAAGAATTGCTACCAGATTGCAGTTCTTTGGGTGGCTGAAGGGCAATTCACGATTAGAACGTCTGGTGCTGTGCCATTTAGACTCCTGTATGTGATACTTTAAACAACTGTACCGGGTTGTTTGGAAGCCGTGGCCGGAGGTAGATTCCAATGGAACGGGTGAATACCCCGAAGTAGGAGACAAAGTAATAGGCTCAGATGATGAAAAAAACATATAGCTATCTTATACAATGCCAAGCGTAACAGATTGTCGAGGGGAGACGAGATCGACAACCCCCGAGTCCCGTATACCAGGAGTTAAGGTGAGAATTGCAAATGCCATTAACCAGAGAAGGATGGCAAAGAAATGGCACGCGAGACCCGTCGACTTGTCGAAAAAAAGGTGACTAATGGGATCGGGTGGTGAGGCTTGCTGACGTGGGTAACATAATCAGTCACCGGATCGCAAGTGCGTAGAAACCACCTCCGGAGTGTTGTGGTTCGAGCGTCCGCCCGGAGAGCGGAAGGTCACGGGTTCGATCCCAGATCGTGTCATACCAAAAGACGTTAAAATATGGTACTTGTTCGTCCCTGCCTGGCGCTCGGCATTAACGGGTACAACAAGGACTGGGCGCCTCGGAGTCAGTATAAAGTGTCCGAGTGGGTTAGTCATGCTTCACTGCAGGATGGTATCTCAGTGGGCAGGCACTATAAACCCAGCTGAAGTCTGGGCTAGTACAAGCAGCCGCACATACACACGCATGCACGTCGTCATATGAGCGAAAAATTATCAAGGACGACATGAAACCCAATGTCACCACACCTCACCAAGTGCGTAGAACGAAGCTCAAGTTGATCACTGGAATGTCCGGTCCAGACTTGATGAATTACAGGCCGCCGCCATAAACTGGAATATTGCTCAGTGAGGCGTGAAAACTTAATACGCTCACTCCATGGTTGATACTCGACTTCCCGGGTACACACTATAAAGCATCCGAACTGTCTACAAACAAATAGACTCTAGACTATGGCTCTTGCCGACGTTATACGCGTTGTACGGCTTACGACCCCCGGGGGCGTGCCCCAACCACTGCCGTTGCCGTTGAGCTGTTGCGGCTACAACCCGACCATGCAGGCAAAAAACGATTGCCGTCCGTCGACATCCATGTCAGGCTGATCCGGGACGTATCCCAAGATGCCAGCCCTACGACCAGCCATGGCTACGGCGTGGCCGGAAGGACGGTGGCCGGAAGATCCGCTTGGCTGAGGGATCCCGTGGGTGCCCAGCATATGGGGGGGCTGGACGGGAAGGTCCGAAGCCATGGAACCATACCCGACGCCAGTATGAACCAGTTCGACAGACCTCGACCCGTGGTCTCGTCTGGGACGGATGGATGGATAGCCAGCTGTGTCTGTGTTTGTCCCGTGGACGCCGACAGATCAACAGACTGAGTAGCCGTGGCCATGAGTCGAAACACCATTGGGACACGGACTACACGGAAAGTTATAGACACAATGAAGAACTTAAAGGTCACATGCAACGTAAATCACAACTTTGCAGATTCTGATACCTTTCGGTATGGACGTACCGAAACAAATCATCAAAAATGCAAATTCAAGTTATAAAGTTGAAAAATAACGCGATGAAAAAAACCGCTCGAAATCAGAGTTCAAACGATTCACTCATTTTCTCCCGAAAATTTCGGGGGAAAACGGGTTTCAACAGCTGGGCTGCGCTCATAGCATGTGCGCAGTGAAATAGGTTCGTGCAACTTGGAAGCGGGCTGTCTGGTGAATACTCGGTGAAGGCTTTGGTGTGAGCTATTTTCATAATGAACAACAAGGAGAGTTCTATGGATATACACCTTCTTTAATATGATATGAGCGACGTTTCGGTGTAGCTACTAACACCGTTATCAAGCAAATGATGTACAATACTAGATGCAAGGTATATTTATATACATAGTAAAGTTGAACAGTAAGTGATGATGTTTGCACAATTAATGAGGTAGATGTACAAGGTGGTGGATGTTTACACAAGAGGCCAATAGTTACACAAACATAGTAAGCTATGGGGAGTTAAGGGAGGAAGCCAGTGATATGACAGACAGGAGAATAATAGGATTAAGATTGCTGGGTGATGAGTTGGTTGAGTGCACACCCACCCGCTCTGACTGGGTTCGGTATCCCGGCTGCCTCGTTCCAAGGGAGGTAAACCCAAGTACAAAATATTGCACTTTTGATTTGCGATTATACGCTTATAGTTTTTTTATTTGTTTTTTTCATAATCAGCAATGCATATTATATGTCATGACGAAGTGATAATTGTGTTTTAATTATGTTTGATTTTTTGGTTGCATGTGACCTTTAAGATAAGCGCTTGTGACATATGCACTTTGGCGGGAAAAGTAGAGTTCAATAAATTAATATAAAACGCAAGCAATATGTACAAAATATAGAATGCGATGGACAGAAAGATCAACCAATGCGACACAACTGACCGGGAGTCTTGTAGTTCTTTGAAAATTTTGAGGGAGGACCCGAGAAGCACGAGGCACAGACAAAACACGTGCAGATACGCGCTTGTGACATATGCTTTTTGGCGGGAAAAACAGAGTTCAATAAAGTAGAATAAAACGCAAGCAATATGTACAAAATATAGAATGCGATGGTCAGAAACATCAACCAATGCGACACTACTGACCGGGAGTCTTGTAGTTCTTTGAAAATTTTGAAAAACACTTCCACTCTGTAAACACATCTTCTGTGTTGTCCATACAGAAAAATTATGAGAAGTTTTCAACAACTATGTTGTGACGTCACAGCCAAGGGAGATAACTGCATAACTCTTTAAGCATACCACTAGCGATAGCTGTGACTTCGTTAAACAAATTCATTTCCATTCTGTATGTGTCTGTGGAATCCACAGGAATAAGGCAACCATAATCCAGAGGGAATGTTTACGCCCATAATTACATAGATACTGGCCGAGGTGAATACCCTCAGATCCACCTGTAGCATGGACACTGGGTGTGGTGAATACCCTAAGATCTATCTGTAACATAGATATTGGGTGTGATGAATACCCTCAGATCAATCTGTAACATAGATATTGGGTGAGGTGAATACCCTCAGATCCACCTATAACATAGATACTGGGTGTGGTGAATACCCTCAGATCCACCTGTAACATAGATACTGGGTGAGGTGAATATCCTCAGATACACCTGTAACATAGATATTGGGTGAGGTGACCACCCTCAGATCCACCTCTAACATAGATATTGGGAGAGGTGAATATCCTCAGATCCACCTGTAACATAGATATTGGGTGAGGTGAATGCCCTCTGATCCACCTGTAACACAGATTTTGGGTGAGGTGAATACCCTCAGATCCACCTGTAACATAGATATTGGGTGTGGTGGTGAATACCCTCAGATCCCCCTGTAACATAGATATTGGGTGAGGTGAATACCCTCAGATCCACTTGTAACATAGATACTGGGTGAGATGAATACCCTCAGATCCACCTGTAACATAGATGTGGGTGAGGTGAATATCCTCAGATCCACCTGTAACATAGATATTGGGTGAGGTGAATATCAGATCCTCAGATCCACCTGTAACATAGATATTGGGTTGGGAATGTAACATAGATATTGGGTGAGGTGAATGCCCTCAGATCCACCTGTAACATAGATATTGGGTGAGGTGAATGCCCTCAGATCCACCTGTAACATAGATATTGGGTGAGGTGAATGCCCTCAGATCCACCTGTAACATAGATATTGGGTGGGGTGAATGCCCTCAGATCAACCTGTAACATAGATATTGGGTGAGGTGAATACCCTTAGATACACCTGTAACATATATAGATAGTAGGTATGGTGAATATGCTCAGATCCACCTGTTACGGCGACACTGATCCACAAGTGTAAACATTAATAATTTCATGAGTAGCCTAACAATCATCTACTATATACAATGTATATGTGGACTAGTTAATACTCTTGTCAATGTGTAGAGAGTCTTACGTCCTTATAGATCCACTGGCTGTACTGTTCCCTCTCCCATAGTATGGCCAGCTGGCAGGGTAACACGTAGCAGTGGCGCCGCAACAGACATTCCTCACACAGCAGGCGTAAGTAACACTCTATCACCTAAAACATACCACAAGTAGGTAGGTATGTAGGTAGGAAGGTAGGTAGGTAGGTAGGTAGGTAGGCAGGCAGGCAGGCAGGTGACAGGTAGGTAGGTAGGTAGGCAAGCAGGTAGGTAGGTCGGTAGGTAGTCAGGCAGGTAGGTAGGTAGACAGGTAGGTAGGTAGTCAGGTAGGTTTTCAGGTAGGCAGGTAGGTAGGTAGGTATTATAAGTTGTTCACTGGTCACGAGGGGGCATGGGGTGATGTACCCTCGATGTTTGTTTATGTTCCCTGAGCCCAAAGGGCGAGGGACATATACATCAACACATGGGCCCCGAGGGACCAGTGAACAACGTATTTATCTTACCGAACACCTAAATGTTAATTTTGAATTGTTTGAAGCAGGGTACACATTTTTGACAAGAAGAAGAGATTTAGAGTTATCTCCCCTCCATCGAATTCGCATTTGCAAAACATCGGTACTTTATGTATACATCATACGCGATTCAATGTTATTCGAGATAAAGATTACTACCACGAAGTACCAAATGAGTTGCCATTGACAGCTGGGTACATCGAAAATGTTAGAGAAGCTTCCCTGCCATTCAGAAAGATAGAATATATATATATATATATATCTCTCTCTCTCTCTCTCTCTATCTCTCTCTCTCTCTCTCTGAAAATAATAGAAGAGCGCTAAGCCATTCAGAAAGATATCTCTCTCTCTCTCTCTCTCTCTATATTATATATATTATATATATATATATATCAATATTCATTATATATTCATCAGAACATTAAAGCTCATTAAGGCCTCTTCTTCCATACTGGTCTTGTTATCTGTCACCTGAATCAAGCCATAACATACGGTATAACTGACATTTGCTGGGTTGATAAGTGACCTCCAAGGTGTATAACAGATCTTCCTAACATACACTATGATGTGTCATAACAGGTCTTCCTAACACACACTATGATGTGTCATAACAGGTCTTCCTAACATACACTCCGATGTGTCATAACAGGTCTTAGTAACATACACCATGATGTGTCATAATATGTCTTAGTTAAACACACCATGATGTGTCATAATATGTCTTATTAACATAAACTATGAGGTGTCATAATAGGTGCTAGTAACACACACTATTGTGTGTCATAATAGGTCTTCGTAACATTCACTATGGTGTGTTATAATTGGTCTTAGTAACATACAATATCATGAAGTGTTAGTGATGAAGGCAAGATACACCTAAACATATTGCAGGTGAACGCTGTATGCAGAATAATGACTGTTCTACTCACATTGTCATCCAGCCATGTCCTCCCCTGCAGTGTAGCAAGACTGCTGCCTCCTATGGTCATGTTCCCGATCCTGTATCTGGCTGTGACATCCACCTCCACGTCTTCAATCTCAGCCTGCCCCAGGTGTCTGGGCCATTGCTGTAAGGTGGACATGAAGCTGAGGGTTGGCGTGTCTGTTCTGTATGCCCCTACAACTATAGCTGACAGAAGCACCATCAGAGTCTCCTGCTGGAGCTCATCAAACTGATGCAGGCACACTACATCCAAGTGTTGCAGCCTGGCTTGTACTTCACTGACATCTGTTGGCCACAACCGCCTGACCTGTTCTGTGAGAGACATACATGGGTTGGTTCTAGAGCTCACACCTCGTCGCACCTGCCAACTTATATCACACAGGAGTCCATCCACAATGGAGGCAAACTGCCCAGTGGTGACCAGATCTTCTATCTGGTCTGTGACACTTCTGCTGCTCTGTGTGCCTATATTTCTTAAATCTGTGTCCCCCTCCCAAAGTGCAGGATTGTCAATATCTGCAAGGATAGTTTCAACTTTACGTTTCAATTCAGCACGTTTCATTTGCAGTTTTTGTCTCTTTGGTGGAACAGGACATTCATCATCTTCACCCACAGTCATGTCCGAAGAGCTATGGCCATCGCCAGCATCTACATGAACTGACTGTGATGTCCCTGAGCATGGGTCACACCCGGAGGAGTAAGTATGGCGCTGTCTGGCTGGAGTAGACTTGCTGGCTCTTCTGGGCCACTGTGGCTCCTTGGCAATGGATTCATTGCCTAGATAGTGTATCAACACAAACTGATTGGGACGGGGATACAAGACATAAACATGCTTCATGAACTCTCGTGAAAAGTCTGTGTCACTAAATTTTGCTTGGAAAAATGTTTTCTTGATTGTAGGTTTGTTTTTGGGCTGCTTGCTGGTTCCATCATGTTGGAAGTGTATGTTGTCATCCTTCCATCCATCTGGAACAATATATTGCATATATCAACAGGGCATACTTCTATGTGCTAATATTCCGTGGATAGAAGAGGACATATTGTTGTGAATGATAATAATAATACTTTTAAACCTCTCTGGAATAGGACCGAAGGATAACAAACATGATGTTGTTCCTTTTAATAACACCATTGGAAATTATTTATATTATAGATGTTTTTTGCCCCTGTCAGGCTTTGGCAGCAATGTGATTGCCATGATTCAAGAAAAACATGATACATATGTAGGCCTCGTCTTTGAAATGTTTCATGCATGCCAAGTACAGTGTTGTCAGGCTCCCCATTGTTCTTGGTGCCCTTGGTGTGGTGCCTCTTGATCTTTTGAACCAGATGAGGAGTGTGTCCAATATTACCGGCACAGTACACCGGTATACATGTATCGGCACAGTATCTCGCGATACAATTATCGCGATATGGTTCAGATTCTGCAATATATTGTGTCATCCAGAATTAGTTCCCTTTGAATTATCTGCCCTTGATTGCCACAGCAACAAAATGTGCTCTTAAAGTATCAAACATACTTTTATTTCTGTTGGTTTCATGAAACATTTTACAAGCGGAAGTGTCTTTATAAATGGCACCAAAAGTGCCCAATATTCTACCAAATGTTGTAAGTTTTATGGTTTGAATGGTTTCATATGTGACGTTTTGGAGGAATTCAGTGAGCCTCAAACGGACCAATCTTTTAAGAAAGGCAAGATTATGGATGTCAACTTCTTGTTGTGAATAACACGACGTTTCGAAGTGTATGCTTACTCCTTCATCGAGTCATGAAGGAGCAAGAGTACACTCCGAAACTTCGTGCTATTCATAATAAAGTAAATGACATCCATAAATATTGCGTTTCTTATGCATTCCACTTCTAAATGCCCTTTAAACATTTGACCAATCTATTATTTGGACTTATTAGTACAGCCTCTGGCTATGAGTGACAATTTTGTTTGTTTTATAATGGGTTTCAATTTATCATAAAGGCCAAAGTCTTATAAATGTTGTTGGACTGTATAATGACTTTCTAGTCAAGTATCTTAATTATTGGATGTATCATGGGATTTTAAGCTCAAGTAGTTCACCTAAATCATGTTTCTGTTTCATTTTGTCAGTTCATGTTAACGTGTTTATAGTGGAGTTGAATCTGAATGAATCAGTGACATACAGTAAAATAATTACATCCTGCATTGAAGTGCATTCTGTTGAAGAACACAACGCTGATCAGGGAAATCATGTTATACTATTACCTTCATCATTATGTTCGCAAAACTTTGATGCAATACAGTACTTCAATTAAACATTCTATATTAAGGCTCTATATCATGTTATTTATCTGTAAACCACTGGCATACGGCCGTACACAATGGGGACGGGGAGGCTGAAAGTATGGTGTTACAGCAACAAAGAAGGTGATGTTGCACACAGCGAGCTACTATGGATATATTATGTACGCACTTGGGCAGAAACCTTCCAGTCAATATATCACAATATGTATTGCAATATCTCTTAATCTATTGCAATACATCGCAATATGAGAAACAGGGCAATATCCAGCCCAAGTGTCCAAGCTCTCCACCGCAGCACAGCCCTTCTGACACTTTGGGTAATGTAGAAGGCTGCAGTGCTTGGGAATCTCCATATTCTCTGGAAGGTCCTTGGTGGGTTCGACTAGGCAACACTTCCTGGAAGAAGTCCAGCTCAATGCCTGGGCTTCCTGAAGCGGAGAAAGTGTGCCTGAGATAATGATGAGCCTCACCAGCTCAACTATGCCAGAACTACATGACCTCTCTCTCTCTCTCTCTGCTGCAGAAGGCTGTGATGTTTGGGAGTCTCCATATTCTCTGGAAACATCTTGGTGGGTTTGACAAGGCAAGGCTTATTAGGTTGAAGTCCCATGTGTTGTCTTTGCTGCGTGTAGAAGGGGGAATCTAAAGGTACCTGGTGATAAAGGCTGATGAAGAATGAAATGTCATATTAAAATGGCACAAACTCAAGGGAATGTTCTCTAAACGACCCCATGCACAGAGTTTATGTGCAGTTACTTGAGAAGAAGAGCAAGAGTCCTTCATTTGGATGAAGTTTACTGACTGACATCAAATTGTAAATATGATATGTAGATTAAGGAATGGATATTATGACACAGCCAAACACCTTCAGTGGATGACAACATCATGATATGGCATGATATTTTCATTATCAGTTTGCCATTCTTTATTTTGATAAAAAGAATGAAAATATTCTTTGAATGAATTTTCTGGTACATGAGAAAAATTATAATATGAATTATTATATAATAATTAAATGAAGATGACATTGGAGTTTGGCAAATGCATGTAGAGATTGAGAGTTTCAATGAAATATGACAAAGTTAAGGAAGAAATCGTAAACCTTTTTTTTCAACATTTCTAAAGATCATATTGATGTGTTTAGAAAAGTTTTTCATATCTTTTGCACTAGTACTGGATTAACATTTGTTTAAGCTTTCACACATTAGGCCATTTGTAAAGAGCTTAATTTATGTACATAGACTGCAACTGTCAGTGGGCTCACACCTGAAAAAGTAGTGGAACTCATCACCAACAGTTAATGAACTCACCAGTTCATAAATTAGTAATTACACAACCATTACTCCTAGGATATCAGATCAGCGTCTTGTTTCAGTAGGTAAGTTGTGCTTTGTGGTCCTAATTTTAAAGATTGGGTGATGGTGATTTAAGGTAGATATTTTTCAAATGTTATATTTTATTTAAACACTTTATATTACACACCCTCAGACCTCTCAGTAAAGGCACACACAGCCAATTCTGCATGAACTGTTTTTCAATATTTCTTCAACTTTTGAATCTAGCCATGATGATGAACACTAATTCCACAGTTATGATTACACTATGCCATTTTAGAAAGTGGTCAAATGTAACATATGTTATATTTGGGATTACACTTTCTTCGTAAAGTACAGATTCTAGTACTTTTGGGGTTGAGACCCATCCGGGATTCGAACCCGCGCCCTCAGAGTCAGGCACCTAATCGCCAGTACACAAAGTCAGCCGCCTTGACCGCTCAGCCACCGCGACTTTCACAAAAATGAAAGTACAACTGGTAGTCTAGACTTTGTGTACCCCTCTGATAAGTATTAGTTGGCACGGCTTCCATGGCCGAAAGCTATGGTTACACAATGCCATTTAACATTTGACCACTTTCTAAAATGGCATTGTGTAATCATAGCTTTCGGCCGTGAATAAACTATTAACCAATTAACAGATGGAGAGGTTCCCTCTGAATTTTCCATAAGTCCTACAGTTTGGTATTGCATTTCGAAGATCTCCTGGCATTAAGAAATTTTTAAAAAGATTTTATTTTAATGCTTTCAAAGTGTCAAATGCAGATATTAAACAATAAAAAGGCAAATCGTTTTGGGGTTTTTTTAATGCTGAATAACATTGCTTTTGTTGCATTTCTGATAAGACTTTTGATCTCACTCTTATGCGCAACTTTTTTTCATGGGTAGATATAATAATCAACAATTATTTTGCTTTTGGGTCAAGTGTGTATTTATATTCCACCGTGAACAATATATATTTAAGCAGAGGTGTATTGATATTGATCTTCAAAGGTTGGCCTCAGTTCTTGAAAAATATATTTAACTAGATTTTTTCAGACAGATAAAAATGACTGTGTCAGAAGAATATTACATTAGTACTGTAAATGTGAAGGTATACTGTATTGTCCTTTGTAGATTTCGCTGTTCAAATCATATGTTAATGATTGAATATGGAAGATGTTTAAATCTTTCCCGCAACGAACGTTTGTGTCCCTTGTTTGTATCCCTCGAAACTGAATACCATTTTTGCCCTGAATATCCACTCTATCACCATCTGAGAGCATCTCTCATATCACGTTTTTATCATGTATATCTTTCTGGAAACAAGGAGGCGTCAATTTTTTCCAACAACATGAGTATGACATTTGGACTTTTTGAATGCAATGCTCTTAATTTGAAACATGGCAAAGTACTGAATGATGGATCAGTCAAGTTACATAGGGGCAGGAGTGATAGAGTATATTTTGGAAAATCAGACATACAAGTATCACAGTTGTCTAAATTATGACAGTGACGATGATGACAATATTTTATTACCCCTAAGGGAATTCTTTTTACATTTGAAAGTGATTGCATAATTAATTATTTAAAATGATAAAGTTTAAGACAACACAATAAAAAAACCTAACAGTCATTTATAAGGCGAATACCTGCTGGAATTTCAGTGTATGAAATAAGGCCCGTCCGACCGCCCGAGGCGGGCTAGATTTCTGACGAGCGGTCTAAATTTACCGCTCGTCAGCCCGATGGCATGGTAAAATAGATTAGCAAATTTGAGTAAATTCACCATATCTTGGTGTTTGGTCTGGTTAAATCCATTTTGATATCTGGCTGGGATATTTTTGGGCTTTAATAAAGGAATTTTGAATTGTTTTTGTTTTAAAGCGGGGCATTTGGTATCGGTGTTTAACTCTAGTGACTGACTAGTCTTCATTTACAAGTCATCCAAGTCAAGATCCAAGTCTTCTGAAAATTCTGAATCAGAATGTTACACCAACAGGAAACACGATGTCAAAACTCTGCACACCATCACATGGGCACAATGTGTTAAGCCCATTTCTGGTGTCCCCCGCCGTGATATTGCTGGAATATTGCTAAAAGCGGCGTAAAACTAAACTCAGTCAGTCAGTCTGCACACCATCACATATCGTCTACCATTGTTTTACCAGCTGCTGATCGACATAAAAACTAGAAACTACAGAATGATATTTTCTGAAAAATAATTCTCTTAGGGCCTGTTCGATTATTGCGAAACTGGTTTTGGTTTTTGAAACTGGTTTCTCCTGTTATAAACGAGTGTCTAGTTCCGGATACATGGTTTCAAAGTGAAACTAGTTTCTAGTTTTATATACGAGTGGATTGTTTCACCATCCGGTTGCAAAATGGATACCAAAAAAATGTCTCAGCTACTGTATATGTGGAACGAATTGGATGACAGCATATGTTTTCCATTTTATCAGTGAATTAACAAATGATAAAGAGATGAAATGCTTTTGGAGGTAAATATTTGCGTATTTGTAATTATAAGTACAAGTAATAAAATAGTCATGTTCAATTATAGACTGGGGTTTTAAATAATATTTTCCTAGTTCTCAGATGATTTTTATCATTATTTTGGTTCCAAAAACAGCTGCTCTATTTGCCACCAAGATCAGCTGAACTTGGCGCTTTTGTTTCCGCCATGTTTGTTGTGAGAGAACGCGAAACTGAAACTGCGAAACCTGCCTCGGAGATGGTTTCAGAACCCAGTTTTAGGTTTCGACATAATCGAGTGCATGTTTTTTCCGAAACCAAAACCGGTTTAGGATAATCGAATACGCCCTTAGTTATTGGGGATCAAAAAGCTGTCGGTCGTAAGGACCTGCAGAAAACAAAAGCAATTTCACTAAATTTTTGTCCTTCCTGGTTTAATCTGACAATTAATTGCGATCTCGTCAAACAGCAAAAACACCGGAAATGCAAGAGCAGACGACACTTTGAGCTGATCACGTGATCACCACGTGCATAAACTACGACTTCAATTGATATGTGGCAGATATGCATGTCGCGTGGAATGCAGCGCGTGACGACAACGCTAAACTGACTTAATTTTCAAAGACGCGCAGTAGGCAGGATGCAAAGTGAAGAATACGTTTGGCACGAGTCTGTACCTCAGTCCCTACGCGCATTCTGATTGGTTTGTGGTATGTTCAGTAGCGAAGCATACTTTATGAATGAGTCCTAGACCAAATGTTAGAAAAACCCCTATCTTTTAGGATCTCTCAGCAGCAGTTAAGGCGTTATCCAGTAATTGGTATGACAACTCCCACCCTTCAGAGATTCTTGTCAATGTGGAACTAGACACAGAATGTACCAGGTTACTAAAACACACAAGGATTACCCCGCTGTTGAAACAGTGTCCACATGTTCATAGACCAACTGCATGAGTATTAACTGCATGGTTTAATGGACGGTGACAAGCACAGGACCCAGTTGTATCAACGCGTAATTATGTAATCATCAATTAAACACTAATCATTGATTAAATTCTTAATGTTTGATTAGTTAATGAAGTGTTTAAATACGGTTGTATAAACCCTTATTTAAACACCCATTAACTAAGTATGCCTCTGACAAAGGTCCCGTCATTAAACCAAGATGTAAAAACTTTGAAAGTTGTGAAATACAGGCCTAGTTGAAGATCATATCAGTGTGTTAAACAGCAAACTGACTCCAACTCCATTACTAATGACAAAAATAAGCAGATATGGGGTAGCATTGGGGTAAGCAATAGAATGTCCAAAGAAATCAATACAAAATGGAACAACATGTTTCAAAATGCAAATAAAAAGTGTTTTCAGACAGAATATGGTCTACTACACTAAATGTGTCAATTTCTTATGTAAATATTATTCAAACAATCAAAAACTTTCCAAAAATATAGAATGTATACCCTATATCCACGTATGATATGATATTAAACAAAACTAAATGTAGATACGAAGTCAGTTTCATGAAAAAGTATCTGAACTATACGCAAAATACACATCATAATACTGACAGTGTAATCGGAAGGATAGGGCGATTGTGTTTACTCTTGTTCCGCCGACCTTCACCTCAAAGAAATTGCCTAATATGTGCAACAAGGTTGACGTATGACATCACTATCGCTTACACTATCACTATCACTATTTCTTACAAAATGGCGACTTCGCTGACAAGGGTACACAGAATTTGGCGAGGACTCTTCCCTTGATTCAGGGATCATTTGTACATAAATATGTGATGTAAGTAATCAGAATTATTCTCACTCTCTGTGTATTGTTATATGTTTTTATAGTTTTCATTGGATAAATAAGAGAAGAAGCCAGAAATGTTGATAATTACCGTTGTCGTTCTGCGTTATTTTGCATCAGTCATGGCGTCACGCTGCACGGAAACCTTGATAAATTCTTATGAATTATCACATCATTGCATTGTATCTGTTTTTAATTTTCTGTTTCTTGGCACGATACTCTTCCCATGCATATTCTAAAGATATTGAGCCATTGAAAGCAAAGAATGGACGGCTGGGTGTCGGACAATTCCAGAAAATGCTACGCAGTGTAAAATCGGATTTTTTCTTTGTTTTCATTTCAAACAAGTGCAATCTTCCGAGTACAATGTTCGTTTCACCCCAATATCTTTCGTTTCATTTCATCTAGACAGTTGGTATTGGTGACAAAGACCGTTTGTAAGCTGTCCCTATACATTTTAATTCCAAAATGTATAGGGAATTCAGTGGTGTATTTCTCGCAGCTGAATATGAAATATACGTGATGTAATAGGCGTCTCAAAACCGGCCTTCGCGAAACGTGATTTTGTAAACAGTATCCAATATGGCGGAAAACGCACTTCGGCGTTTGTGTAAGTGTATTTTCGAAAACATCCCAACCGATTCTAGGTTCATCTGCAACGTTTCAGAATTATCATTAGTGAGTGAGTGAGTGAGTTTGATTTTACACCGCTTTTAGCAATATTCCAGCAACATCACGGCGGGGGACACCAGAAATTGGCTTCAAACATTTTACCCATTTGGGGAATCGAACCCGGGCCTTCGGCGTGACGAGCGAACGCTTTACCCACTAGGCTACCCCACTGCCCCCATTAGTGATTTTATGAAAAACTGATATCAGTGATCATTGCTATGCTATTTTTGAAATTCTATATTCCCAGTAATTGTCAAATTTTCACATTTCAAAACTTACAGCAAATAACTCTCTGAGTCGCGACTACATATTGTGTCAAAAATGGCGACACGACGAAGTCTATTTTGAAAGGTTATTTTAAGCATTTTAGTTTTGTCTGATTTAATAGTGGATGGTATCAAGAAACAGGGAATTTCCCGCAGAATTCAAAACTGTGAAGTATATTTGTATATAAATATGTGATATATTTAGAATGTTATTGAACTTCAAAGTGAGGGTTATATAAAGAGGAAGGACATATATGTCCCTGTGGCACCCGGTGGGGGTTAATTAATCCCTTCACGAAAATGTTTCTCTTTTCTCCGACGTCGAAGTTGATGATACAGTATGTCGTCTGCCATGTTGATACAGCTAATGATGAGTTAATGATACCCCCAAACCTCCATTAGCTTAATGATGGATTAATGAAGGGATTCGTTTATTAAGGATTTCATGAAACTGAAGATAATCAGTGATTAACTAATCATAGTTTAATTAACGATAAAAGCTTTATTAAAGTTTGATACAACCGGGTCCTGGTGTTAAACATGATCAGGATATGCAGTATGGGTGATAAGGCCTGGTATGTCATATTACCTGATAATGATGTTATCTCTACATTTGGCCTGGGAGTAGAATAACACCTTTTCAGCTTTTGTTCACTGCATAGGGCGACGAACGTTTCGGTGTAGATTGTTACACCGTTCACAAGCTAATGTTTAGGGTCGTATTTTCGCATATGACATCAATCATCGATCAGGCGACGAGTAAAGTTCGTATGAATGGGGAGGGTCGTGACGAATGCTTTTCCGGCATGCCTCGTTGACCAGGGAAAGATTCGAGACTTTACGGACCTCCCATTCGTAACTATATACTCATATATTCCGGCAAGCCGGGTTGTCTGGTAGCTCCGCAAAGCATTCGTCACCACTCGCCTCTTTCGTGACCTCCTTGAAGACGGCTTGTCCCGGAATAACACGAGTTGGTCACGAATGTCCGCAAAGAGGCGAGTAGTTACGAATGCGGAACTCCAACTCCCGTTCGCTCGTGACCAACTCGTGTTATTCTGGAACAAGCCGTTTTCTTGGAGGTTACGGAGAAGGGCGAGTGGTGCCGAATGACTCCCGTAATTTACCGGAAAATGTGCAGCAGCCTAATTATAGAAACTGGGATTTCTCAAATTATTTTGAATTAAATCACAAATGATGATAATAAATCGACTATGAGATATTAACAGCGAAACTTCAAATCATGAATATGGTTTTAATGAATATCGACCAAATATATACTATGCTTACTTTCCGTCTTAATGATTATTAATATCACCAAATCGCTGAAATGACAAGTAAGTAAGTAATAATAATAATAATGGTATTACCTGGATCCGTTCCCTCTTCTATGCAATACACATAGACTTGACCCCCTCTAACGGCCCGTGGAGCAGTGCGGATCACGCGCGTCAGATCCGGGGAGTTAAGGACCTGACACGCCTCTGCCGCCCTGAAGGGCCTGACGCGATCGCTGTAGTAGGCCATTCAAGTGTAATCGCTTGACATAGCTCTGCAAACGTCAAATGTTCTGTAAAGTAGAATCAGTGAATATTCAAAGAATCCCCCATGTAAGCTGTACATTAAACACACTGATCTGAGCTGTACACTGAACACGCAGATCTGATCTGTACACCAAAAGGGCTTGTAACGCTAAAAACTAGTCTAAAAACTAGACTTAAGTCTCATAGTCAATGACGGGGTGTTAGCACTTATGACTACATATATACCTTCCTATAATGTCAATTAATAACCCGTCATTGAATATATGAGCCTTGATGCTACTGTTTGGTGTAACAGTCCCCTGTGCTGACCACGAACCTAATCCTACCTGTTCTCCGTGAGTTATGGTAACTGTGAAACACCTTCCTGGATGGTCGATGCGTCAACTGTGACATAAGAACTGTAATGTGTTGATGATTGGTCGTTATTGATACACCAACACGTCCATTGTGTTGTGTGTAATTTCGGATTCTCTGGAAATGCCATGTTTGTACGGGGCCGTCAGTGATTCGAATGACCGTATGTAATCGAACCTGCTACCTGCGTCCAGCATGTCTATGGCTCCGTGCTTGTAATAAATGAAAATGGAATGTGGCTCTCCCAGCTATGCTGTCTAAACATGCTAAGTGATTCAAACGGCTCACCGTATTTAACAAAACAAGACATCCTCATAATTTTATTCAGATCACAACAGGTTTTATTAATAGTTAACACAATATAATATACTAATAGGAATATTACATATAATATTATCACATGATAATTAAATCTTAATCTGTAAAAACATAATTATAATGAGTAGGAGAGAGTATACGTTACTTGTGAAAACAATATTATACATGGGGACAATCTTTTACCGGTTACGGTAATCCATTAATTAATTAAACTATTGGAAATGTGGCTTTACCGGCTACAGCCATGTAATTGAAATGTGGCTTCCCGGCAATAGTCATTTTTGAAATGTGGCTTTCCCGGCCTGTCACCACACAGAGTATATGCACAGTCAGTAGCGAGCTGTGGAAAAAGGCAACGCGTATTTATGATTGAAAAACTGTAACATTTTGATGGGGGACAAGGCGACACGGATCTAGTGAGCTAGTGAGTATAGTTTCACGCCACTTTTAGCATATTCCAGCTACATCACGGAGGGGTCACCACATTGTACCCATGTGGGGAATCGAACCCAGGTCTTCGGCGTGACGAGCATCGCTTTAACCACTGGGCTACCCCCACCTCCCCTATTTACAATAGATACACTGTGTAACCCCTAAGCTAATAAAAGTGTTGCCCAGGCTTTGACACCGAAGATGCCATATTGCAAGTTCTGTACTTTCATTTCGACATCATCTTTAAGCTCTGATGCACCACTGTCGCAGTGAGCTTCTGCATGTCTGATGAAGGAAGTTCCCTTTAAGTTGGACATGTAATCCGTGACTTGAATGTATAACAGTTATTGTAACATTACCAAACCCCTAAAAACGTTAAAACGTCGTTTCAACGTGCAATGGCAGAGTCCCTGAACCATGAGTCTAAGTAAACTTAGGGTCAATATTATTCGTTACACTGCTTTTACTTCAGTATAGCAGTGTAACGGATAATACTGAGCCTAAGTTTACTCAGACTGCCTGAACCATATTATTCTTCCTACAACCTAGCCCTTGCAGTGCTAAAGCCCTAAATAAAACATGTCTAGGTTGCCCCTAGGTTCTGAATCTCTGGTCTCCCTTGGGCCCCTTTTAAATTTAAATGGGCTTATTCGTTACAATCAAAATTATATATAACCGTTAGTCTAGGGCAAAAGGTCGGAGGCCAACATTGAATAAAATGCTCCGGGATCCACTTATCGAATCTCAGATGGTTATCCCCTTCGTTAGTTCCTTCACATAATAGTGTCATCTGTCATACCAAACGTAAGACAAACATCCCCACAACACGTCTTACATGTCAAGACTGTGTGGCAGGTTTAACGCAGTTTCAGGACATGAAGAAAGTCCTTTGGCTTCATTTCGTTTTAGGGGCGGTGGGGCAGCCTAGTGGTTAAAGCTGGGTTCGATTCCCTACATGGGTATAGTGTGTGAAACCAATTTCTAATGTCCCTGGCGTCGTAAAACTAAACTCATTCACTCACTCATTTTGTTTTATTTTGTTAAATGTTCAACTCGAGCATAACGATGTCCTTACCCACTAACACAAGATGCCCAGATAGCATAAAGATGGATAATATTTATTGAACACTTCCACATAGATGTCGGGCCTTTGTTGTCTCATGTCCGAAACAATGTTGCATATGTGATGCAAGATTCTGTTTATAAAAGCTGTAGAAACCGAGTTGTACTGACCTGCAGTACCGACTTAAACAAGTGTGGATTGGTGAAGGGTCATTAAAACCTTTTTTTCTAATGCTTTTCTTTACCAAAATACACACTTCTGTTGCTGCAGGTCTCTTATCCCCAACTTCTGTTACCACAGGAAAGTTTCACAGTTACTCTTAAAGGACGAGGAGTGGATGGATCCTTTTCTCTGACCGATATTTTCAGATACTTTCATTTCATGCATCATTATATTTAACTGTGCTGCAATTAAACTCCCTTAATTACATTTGCCATTGTCCATTTGTAGCTCGCAACCGACATCAATGCCTGGAAAGATCCGAACGATAAGATTCGGATCGGATATGTACCGTTCCCATGGGCGGATCAAGGAATATTGAGAGGGGGGAGTTCGAACCCGGGGTGGGGGGAGAGGGGAGAGGGGAGAGAGATTTCAAGCGTATGGCTGTATATGAACATATGAAGATGTGTGACTGCAGGTGCTATGACTTGAACCTATTCCATGTTGCATGTTGTCTGTAAATGATAGCACTAATATCTACTACAAATAATCAGATCTTATGAGTGCGCCGCGTATTTAAACATACGTAATTGTTTGGTGCGTTCGTATTTATGATGAATAAAGCACTCGCCTCTTTCCGTGGCTAGTTTTCCCGGATTGGCGAGGAGTCGGGTTACGGAAATATGCGAATGGTGACACATTCGTAACCCACTCGTGTTATTCCGGGACAAGCCGACTAGCGTTAACTTGGATGCTACGGACTGGGGCGAGTGGTGACGAATGGTGCCTTGCGCCTTCTCGTGTATTTCCGTGCATAACATTCCGTTCAAAACCCGGAAGTGAAGATTCTTTGTTGACATGTTTGTTGACATGTGGCAGTTTTCGATCAGCGGACGTCTTCCACGGCATTGACAAGAAGGTGGGCACGTAGGTTGTCATCTGTGTACAGGCTGCACTTCCCATCACACAACTTTACTTCGTGCATTGTGTTATGTAACATGTGCGGTACACTATGAAACACGAAACGGTAATCTAACAGTTGACGTACAGGTGCCAGCAATGCAGGAGTTAAATAATCTAACAAATGGCACAAAGCGATACTGTTATGCTATGGGAAAATGTAACCGCTGTAGAATATGGTCCACGGCATTTTGATGCAAAGGGAGCAGCAGAGTTAAGGGAAAACTACCTTAAATCGTACACTGCTACCCAGTTAGACCAATGCTTAGTCTCAGAATATATCACTCATTCTCATTACCAAACATCATTAAACATAACCAAGCATCACTGAACATCACCGACCATTTGTGAACATCACTGACCATCACTGAACATTACCAACCATTAGTCTCAGAATATATCACTCATTCTCATTACCAAGCATCATTGAACATTACCAAGCATCACTGAACATCACCGACCATTTCTGAACATCACTGAACATTACCAAGCATCACTGAACATCACCGACCATTTCTGAACATCACTGAACATTACCAAGCATCACTGAACATCACCGACCATTTCTGAACATCACTGACCATCACTGAACATCACCAAGCATCACTGACCATCACTGAACATTACCGAGCATCACTGAACATCATTGAGCATCTCTGAACATCACTGACCATCACTGAACATAACCAAGCATCACCGACCATCTCTTAACATCACAACTATCACTGAACATCACTGACTATCACTGAACATTACAGACCATCACTGAACATCATTGACCATCTCTGAACATCACTGACCATCACTTAACATTACCAAGCATCACTGAACATCACCGACCATGACTGAACATAACCAAGCATCACTGAACATCACCAACATTTCTGAACATCACTGACCATCACTGAACATTATCAAGCATCACTGAACATTACCAAGCATCACTGAACATCACCGACCATCACTGAACATTACTGAACATCACCAAGCATCACTGACCATCACTGAACATTACCGACCATCACTGAACATCACTGAACATTACCAAGCATCATTGAACATCACCAAGCATCACTGACCATCACTGAACATCACCATGCATCACTGACCATCACTGGACATCACCGACCATCACCGACCATCACTGAACATCACTGAACATCACCAAGCACGACTGACCATCACTGGACATCACTGACCATCACTGAACATTACCAAGCATCACTGAACATCACCGACCATCACTGAACATTACTGAACATCACCAAGCATCACTGACCATCACTGAACATTACCGACCATCACTGAACATCACTGAACATTACCAAGCATCATTGAACATCACCAAGCATCACTGACCATCACTGAACATCACCATGCATCACTGACCATCACTGGACATCACCGACCATCACCGACCATCACTGAACATCACCAAGCACCACTGACCATCACTGGACATCACTGACCATCACTGAACATTACTAAGCATCATTGACCATCACTGAACATTACCGACCATCACCGACCATCACTGAACATCACTGACCATCACTGAACATTACCGACCATCACCGACCATCACTGAACATCACTGAACATCACCGACCATCACTGGACATCACCGACCATCACTGAACATCACGCACCATCCCTGAACATTACCCAGCATCACCGAACATCACTGAACATCACGCACCATCCCTGAACATTACCCAGCATCACTGAACATCACCAACTTTCACTGAACATCACCAACCATCACTGAACATCACAGACCATCACTGAACATCACTGAACATCAAAGGGGAAGTCTAGCTTCTTCATACTAAAAATCACTATCATGCATAGGCTCAGATGAACATGACTAAAAAAAGACAGAGGTGATTTTGATTCTTAAACAGATATATAAGCTTGAATTGATATGTGAACAAGAGGTCTATATAGCCTTGTTGAAATAGATGTGAAAATGACTTTCTATATAATCTGGTGGGGAACGGGGGGTGGCATTGTCTTAATTTGGGAGTCATGTTTTCTTTATCCATGCTTGCCTAATACACTATGTGTGCAGAAAGTGCTGAACAGTGATACTGGCATGTCTGTAGCTCTACATTCAAGATACAGTTGGTGTCAGTGATCTATAGACAGTGGAAAAGGTTATATTTATGAAAGGTATATCAGTAGCGTGTAATACAGTTTTAGCCGTGTAATGGTGTTTACATCTGCACTGAACCATGAAGAAGGAGTTCTTATCTATAAAGTTGTATGCTTTATGAATTAATTCTGTGTTTGTAGGTTTTGTTTTACATTAAACAACTTGCTATGTTTTGAAAATCACGTAAATGTCAGTGTTTTTGTTTTCCGGTATATACCAGTAAAAATTGCTCAGGACCAATAAATTTGGAGGCTTTCAGTCACTGTGTCTGGTAAAATGCCCAAACTATTTTTTGTCTTGCTTAAAATGCTACCGAAATTAAAATAAAATCACTAAAATAATCCTCTAAATTAGTCTAATACTAGTAATAGAATCAGACACTTACGATTTTTGTGTTAGATGAGGGTTCCTTCTAAATATATTATGCTATTCGCAGTGTGTTTGGTCAGTTTGACAGTCATTCGGAAATGATTGATGTATTTTGTTCCTTGAAATGTCAATATAATCACAGAAGATAACAATGTTATCCAATTGTTTAAATACCATGTGTTTGTTGAAATGGCAAGTGGAGAGCAGGCGATTCTCTCTATATTTTGTTGTAAAGGTAAACATAAGGCTTCCTCTTTTGAGTGTGATGAATCAAACAACGGTAAGGGGCCAAATAATGATTCAAGTACAACTTGCAATCAGTCTTCAAAACTAAAACCTGGTAAATTACAGAAATCTAATTCAGACTGGCTACCTGAATTTATGAAATTAATGCATCAGTTTGTATGATAAACTTATCCACATGTTTCTAAAAATAATTGGTCAGAAATTACACGTCTTGTAAAACAATAGCAACTTAGCAAGGCATGAATATGATGATTCCTATAATGGATGCATGGAGTTTATGAAGTTGGACCTGTTCATATTATTTATGCTATTAGGGATTTATTATTAGAATTTGATGCATATTATTTGAGCAGAAACTATATATCAGTCTTGTATGCGAAATTGTCACCATATGGTGTTTAATATCAATCTAAATATTGATCATATATAGTCAGTGCGAGGAAGGATATTGTATCGGAACGTATTGTAGAGACAGCTGGCATGACTGTCAGGGGTCGTGTGTTATTATTAACAATATGTTTTGCTTATATATTTCTCTTAAACGTCTGTGGACAGACTTGAAATTTTGAAGAGGTAGGTGAGCCCAGTTTGCTTCACGTTATTTAAAATGAATCCTAATTAAATGACTCCTTGGAGACAGCTTAATGGTTGCATCACAGGGGTTATGTCCTGGATTCCTTAGCCGGTATACTGTAGCGCTGTGATTGAGAGATTGGCACAAATATAGACTGATATACACAAGAGAGTAGATAGCACCATGGCAGTATTGAGTGTAGAGGAGGCCAATATAGAGGTAGAGAGCTTGAGCACACAGATGCATTTGTTGCTGATTGATGCATACAAGACTAAAAGTGTGAAGCTGTCGGTAAACATCAGTTTTATGAACAGTTAAAAGGTGAAGTACCCCTTCAGACACTACAAGTCAGGCCAAATAAAAAAAATGTTGTGGTTCCGATTACCCCTCTTTAAAATTTAGAGTAGGTAGGTAGGATTTTTTTTTTACATTCTTTTTTAGAAGTAAAGTACACACTTATAACACATTTATCAATGTACATGTATAATTGTTTATTCAATCAAGGGTTTAGCCATCATTTCGACTTTCGCTATCAGAATGACTGATGTCAGTCGGTGCGGGGAAAATACAAAAGTATCTAAAAGCTTATTTTATTTATAACGCTTAAAAAAATTAGGGTCGGCACCAGAATTCAATGGTTGGTCGGGTAATCGGAACCACAACAAAAAAAATTTAGGCCTAAACGAACAGCCGATACCAAACTTGGTCAATTAACAGCATTTAAAATACCTGCCTGCCCGACCGCCCAGGACTGTTATTTTCAACACGGACTGTCAGATTCTCAAATTCACCTGCCCAACAGTCAGGCTAAAATTTAGATATGTTTATGAAGATATTTTGTGGGCTGGTATGTTTTGGTCAGGGCTGGCAAGTTTTACATCTAACCAGCCCTGTGGTCTGGCTGAAATTTTTGGGAGTTTCATACCTTGCAATAATATGTGAAATCTGAGATAATTATCACCAGACATGATTCACCATTTAACATGTATTTTCTGTTCTGCTAGTCATAGTTTTATACACAGATATAAAGATGGCTGTGTGTCTGTTCTTATAAAATCAGCCAGAAACTACAGTCTGTTGGGGTCCAAATGATAACGATGAATAACAATATAATTCCAAATCAGTTCATGATCAAACATTCATTTCAACGCAGAATGTAATGAAAACATGAAACCAACTCTGGAAAAAAAGTTTCATAATGTTTGTTTCCCAAATAAAAAGTTACTTAACAAACTCTCATCATTTTGTTTTTATGTCCTGTGTGAAGTTTTAAAAGGGTAAAGTAACAGTAAACTGTTGCAGGAACGGCCTCCAGGGCGGGAAGCACGTGCAATTGTGACGTCACATCAAGTATAGCCAATCGATTTATTGACACGATACATGAGACAATGAAATTGACTTCTGACATCAAGTCCAGTATATTCAAAGTTTGAAAAAGTTTCAAGATATTTTTAAAGGCAAAGGTTAAAGGGTTCAACTTAAATTTGTTAAACGCACTGCATGTGCAGTTGGGTTGTCTGTAAGACATTTGAAAAAATTATTGAGACAACATGCAACCAAGTCAGGATGGTGAGTGAGAGCTATATGCCATGTTAGTGAGTGTGTATGGTGAGCCGCTTTTAACAATATTCCAGCAATATCAAGGCGAGGGGACACCAGAAATGGGCTTCACACATTGTACCTAATAAGCCATTTTAATGTCAGCCAGATCAACTGTATCTAAAACACTATGCATGTACTTTCACTGTGTACAAAACATTATGTCTGTGACATTAATACGACAGTGTTGAGAACATTTATAAATAACATAAATGTGTGTCTGCATTTAATCACATCATTTTCATGCAACTGCATCCTTTCTAGGTTAATGCATTGACCGTATCGCCAGTTGCACTATGAGCCCTAGTGGGATCCATGTCAACAAGCTCTGTATAGTGCTAATCGCGGGAGTGTTTGCGGGTGTGCTGGGAGACTCCAGTAAAGGGGACACCAAGCTAACTGGGCCAGTAGAGGAAAACAAGATGGCAGGGAAAGACGAGTCCAAGGAGGCATCCTGGTACACCCAGTTTGTGGACATCCCGGCAGACGTCAAAAGTGCTGGGAATGACCAAGTGAAGGAGGTTGTAGTTGAGGTCTCGCTGAATGGCAAGGTGAGGTTGACATTTAACTTATCTAGTGTCCTAGGGCAAGCTGGCTGGGATTAATGTTAGTGGATGTTGTCCCTGTAGAAGTGAGGGGGGATGGGGTTTAACGTCGTACTTAAGAAGATTTCGCTCATATGACATGTGTGTGTCATGCTTGTACTAGCCCAGACTTAAGCTGGTTTTAAAGTGCTAGCTCACTGAGATACCATGCTGCAGTTAAGCATGAATACCCCACTCAGACACATTATACTGACTCCGAGCCGACCAGTCCTTGTTGTATCCATTAATGGTATGACACGGCTGGGGATAGAACCCCCCTGGGTGGACGCTCTAACCACTAGAGGCCTAAAATAAAAGTTGTGGTTCCGATTACCCAACCGACCCTTGAATTCTGGCGCCGACCCTATCTTTCTTAGGCAGTATGAATAAAATAAGCTTTCAGATACCATTGTTTTTTCCCCGTCACTGAAGGACATTGGTCACTCTGATAGAGAAAGTCGACATGATGGCCGCAAGTTTGATTGAATAAAAAAATAATCCTACAAACCTACCCTAAATTTCGAAGTAATGTAATTGGAACCACAACATTTTTTTTATTTGGCCATACCACGGAGACAGTCCATAAGGGAAAGAAGGGGAATAAGAAGTATTTCATGAACATTGATTTAGTTTTTCAACATATTCACATCTGCATTGAAAGCTGTTTTCTTTCTTGAGTATTGCATGACTCAAAGTACTCCATGGGGTCAAGGCTGTTGCAGAGATAACATGTAATATTTACCTCACAAGGCAGGCAGGAAGGCAGATAGCAGATAGATAGAAACTGTGTTGAGAGTCTTTATGACTTTTAGGAGCTGCATGCTAACATGACATGGAGTATTCTGGATTACATCTCTATTCCACATGCTCAACATTTCAGGGCTACAGCAGCGTTCATTCAAGCAGTTTTATGAAGTGAGCCCCTGGCCCACCAGCCCTCAGTAGTGTTAATCACCTAGAAAATATTGTGGGTCATGTCAAATTGCTGTGACATTTGAGCCATATATTACTAGCTACTGATATGAGTCAACTTCTTTTTTAAATTTTCAATCCAGGTGAGGTCAACAAGAGAAACCAAAGATGTACTTGAGTTTTACTTGAGTTGCCAAGCGAAAACTAACTGTTGATGCATTTCAAAATTACATTTAGGGTTGTGCTGACACAACCTGCCTGTACCTGTACAGTGCACCATGTTTAATATTAGTGTGCAACGGCACAGAGGCTCGGCCTCAAATGAACACTGCCTCAGTGGTATTTTGAAAAGACTGTCAGCCAATTTAAAGGCACACTATCATGGCACACTTCTCTAAAAATCAATATTGCATTTCTCTCATTAATACTAACTATGAGCCCTACTATTTAGATTACAATATGAAATTTGGAATGAATTAATGCAACGTTGCATAAATCGACTCTTGCGTCCTCTACCGACTGAACTTTATTACAAGCGAACCCCATAGAGTTATGTCCCTTAGAATGCACTTTACAAATATCCTATAACGCAACTTATGATTGAGGCCAGTTTGACAAACACCAACAACACCGTGTGAGACAGTTTTTGATGTAAGTGTTACCTGTTTGGCAGATGTTCACCACAAAGTTTCAATTATCAATTTCAGGCAAGTTGTAAGGGATAATAAGTCTTTTATTGAATCAATAGGAAGCTAAATATGTATATTTTAGACCAACCTATTGTCAAAAAAGTGTCACATTGTGCCTTAAGCCCTGAGCATAGAACTCACCTTATAACGGATAACTGTAAAACTCATAAGATGTGAACCTTTAATTTCACGTTTGATGGGTAAATAAGATGTAATATACACATGTTGCTTGCTCTCTTATCATGTTGTTTATTATCTAATATTTGTTGTATTTACGTATAAATGTATTCACATAAACTTGTTTAGTAATCCATAACCAGTTTTGGTGAATGAAATATGATTCAGATGTCAATGAGCCAAGTATACCCTTATCAAACCTTGCATTATGAATATAGAATAAGGCAATATAGTGGAATGATAGATGATACAGCATTTGATATAGATATTGTGTTGTGTTTTTGTTGTTGATGTGTTGTTTACGTCTGCTTCCAACTGTTAAGTTGATGCCGCTGACGTGGATGCCATAGTTAAAGCCATGAGTGAGGGAATAATATTTGAATGGATATGGACATCCAAGTAAAAACTGCGTATTTAGTTTAAGTTTTGAATATAGTAATCATTTTGAGATAAGACAATTTGGAGTAAGTGGAGGTAAGTAAATTATTGAAATATAAAAATATATAAATGAATATATAAAACAATAGTAATGATATAATATCTTTGCTTTTATGCTTTTCTTTTTAATCTCACCTTATAAAAGGATATTGAAAAAATGTGAACCGTATAAGGTGAAGATGACCTGTAAATTGTTAATGGAACTTGACATCAACATGAATATCTTAGCAATGTATTCACGTGAATAGTTACGTCTTGTTTTTGTTTCTGATTTTTTCAAGACGAACATAAACATGAAAACAAGGTTGGGGAAGAAATAGCCCAGCTAGGCCAGAATCTCCCGCTTCTGACATTAGAACAAGGGTTTGAAACAAGTAGCCTTTAAAGTTGATTCAAGGGTGGGAAAATTTGGCCCTTTCCCCATGGAAAGTTTGGCCTGTTACACCAGTTTAGACAGGGTGAAGGATTAGCCCGTGACAATCATTTTCCTACATGGCTGCCATTTACACATGTCAATCTCTATCTCTATAATGTCTTTGATTTTTTTGTGGTTGTGCAACAAATTAAAACAATGTTGATGATGTATTGGATTAAGGGACCTTGATTGGAATGCTCATACCCATGTTGGCTTATAGCTTGGATTCACTGCGCAATCACTACTTCCTACTTCACTACTTCCTGTAGAAATTCAGATAACCGATAACAGTATGCCACTGTAAGTGACCATTGATCAGTGTAATACTGCCTTCCAAAAGAGAGTTTCACCACTTGACTGTCACTGAACATGGCTAAGGCTGTGGTGATAATTAGTTAGTGCAATATCCTAAGACCTACAGTTGGTAAATATAAAGATGGGTAACTTGGGTAGGAGTACCATGGTTGTAAAGGAAGACTTGTCCCAGTCGTACCTGCCAACAATCTCATCGTCATGTGTAGTGTCACGTTTTCTTGGCCTGAGAATGTATTTGTAATTGTATCATTAAAGCCAGACCAATTTTATTTCTTGTTTTACGGATTTTTGTACTCAGAAAACCTAAAGGCAGGAGAGAAAAAAATAAAAATGAAAATAAATAAATACTAAAAGTATTTACGTTTGGCAATTTATGAAGTGTATATGGGGCAAAACACAATCTGAAAAAAACGTTTTGTGTAAATTTACATTTTTGACCAATAAAACCACCACCTTTCGGATTTTACTTTTTGAGCGGGGAAACTTTTTTTTTTTCTTATTCTTGAAAAAATATGACCGGCGGATCAGTAAAACAAGAAATATAATTGGTTGGCCTAATGAAGATTATGCTTTTGCACATCATGAAGAGTTTCAACTGTGAAATGCATCTCATTGTATATATCTCATACAAATGAAGTACAAATATTCATATATACCAGTGTCACGTTCTGCAGTTATTGGGCCCTCTCCTCATGAGGTACAATGTTCCAATAATCACACAACTTAGCTGCCCATGTAGTATTGCTGCATACAAGATCATCCCAACATGAGTAGAAGTACAGCTGGAGGGCTGCAATGTAAGACAACACAAAGAGACAGTAGCCTACATGTATATTCTGATATGATAAAGTGATGTTTCTTGTGATACGGTATGAACATACTGTATCACATACGGTATACATGATCAAAGCTAACCATACAAGACAGATAATTGCACAAATATGGATCAATATTACAGTTTATTAGCAGAAAATACTCCTTTTTTCATTTCACTATTCTATTACCTGACCATTCAATCGCCTAAGCGTTTCACTAAGTGAAAACTAGAGGAAAGAAAGTTGTTACCTGAGCATGACTCATTAACTATTCATAAATGTGTACAGTTTGGAGCATGTCTCATAAACTGATAAATATTTCTTTCAAAACTTTGTAGTATGTATGTAGTGACACGTTCAAGTGAGGACAGGGATTGTATGTGGTCCTGTCTGCTACATGGAACTTTGTCTCCACAGAATTAAGCTTCTAAATTAAAAAAAAATATTATACGAGGATGGGTTGTTGTTTTTTCAGTCGCTGAAAATATTCACAAGGCAAGCAGATCCACAGGGAAGTGCAACAAATGTTGATGTTCTGTTTCTTCATGGACAAAGTTTCACTTCAGAAAACTGGTTGGATATCGGGACACTCAGCCTGGTGTCTAGTTGGGGCCATAGAGGAGTGGCTGTTGACTTACCAGGTAGGCAGTAGGAAACAGTGATACAGGGAGGTCAGGGGCTGTACATGTACCAGGTAGGCAGTAGGAAGCAGTGGTACAGGGGAGGTCAGGGGCTGTAGATGTATCAGGTAGGCAGTAGGAAGCAGTGGTACAGGGGAGGTCAGGGGCTGTAGATGTATCAGGTAAGCAATAGGAAGCAGACAGGTACAGGAGGAAGGTCAGGGGCTGTAGATGTATCAGGTAGGCAGGCAGGAAGCAGAGGATAGCAGTGGTACAGGAGGTCAGGGGCTGTAGATGTATCAGGTAGGCAGTAGGAAGCAGGTGGTACAGGGGAGGTCAGGGGCTGTAGATGTATCAGGTAGGCAGTAGGAAGCAGGGGTACAGGGGAGGTCAGGGGCTGTAGATGTATCAGGTAGGCAATAGGAAGCAGGGGTACAGGGTAGGTCAGGGGCTGTAGATGTATCAGGTAGGCAGGAAGCAGGGGGGTACAGGGGGAGGTCAGGGAGTACAGGTCAGGGATGTGTAGATGTATCAGGTAGGCAGGAGGAAGCAGGGGTACAGGGGGAGGTCAGGGGCTGTAGATGTATCAGGTAGGCAGGAGGAAGCAGTGGTACAGGGGGAGGTCCAGGGGCTGTAGATGTATCAGGGGTAGGCAATAGGAAGCAGGGGTACAGGGGAGGTCAGGGGCTGTAGATGTATGCAGGTAAACAGGCAGGAGGAAGCAGTAGGTACAGGGGAGGTCAGGGGCTGTAGATGTACCAGGTAGGCAGGAGGAAGCAGTGGTACAGGGAGGTCAGGGGCTGTAGATGTACCAGGTAGGCAGGAGGAAGCAGGGGTACAGGGGAGGTCAGGGGCTGTAGATGTATCAGGTAGGCAGGAGGAAGCAGGGGTACAGGGAGGTCAGGGGCTGTAGATGTATCCAGGTAGGCAGAGGAGGAAGCAGCAGGGTACAGGGGAGGTCAGGGGCTGTCAGAGGAGGAGTCAGGGAGCTGTAGATCCAGGTAGGCAGGAGGAAGCAGTGGTAGAGGGAGGTCAGGGGCTGTAGATGTATCAGGTAGGCTGGAGGAAGCAGGGGTACAGGGGAGGTCAGGGGATGTAGATGTACCAGGTAGGCAGGAGGAAGCAGGGGTACAGGGGAGGTCAGGGGCTGTAGATGTATCAGGTAGGCAGGAGGAAGCAGGGGTACAGGGGAGGTCAGGGGCTGTAGATGTACCAGGTAGGCATGAGGAGGAAGGGAGGGTACAGGTAGGAGGTCAAGGTCTGTAGATGTATCAGGTAGGCAGGAGGAAGCAGGGGTACAGGGGAGGTTAGGGGCTGTAGATGTACCAGGTAGGCAGGAGGAACCAGGGGTACAGGGGAGGTTAGGGGCTGTAGATGTACCAGGTAGGCAGGAGGAAGCAGGGGTACAGGGGAGGTCTAGGGCTGTAGATGTATCAGGTAGGCAGGATGAAAATGGCGGTCAGGGGCTGTAGATGTACCAGGTAGGCAGGAAGATGCAGTGGTACAGGGAGGTCAGGTTCTGTAGATGTACCAGGTAGGCAGGAGGAAGCAGTGGTACAGGGAGGTCAGGGGCTGTAGATGTATCAGGTAGGCAGGAGGGAGCAGTGGTACAGGGAGGTCAGGGGATGTAGATGTACCAGGTAGGCAGGAGGAAGCAGGGGTACAGGGGAGGTCAGGGGCTGTAGATGTATCAGGGGAGGTCAGGGGCTGTAGATGTATCAGGTGGGGGCTGTAGGATCAGGCAGGAGGAAGCAGGGGTACAGGGGAGGTCAGGGTCTGTAGATGTATCAGGTAGGCAGGAGGAAGCAGGGGTACAGGGGAGGTTCAGGGGCTGTAGATGTATCAGGGGAGGTCAGGGCTGTAGATGTATAAGGTAGGCAGGAGGAAGCAGGGATACAGGGGAGGTTCGGGGCTGTAGAGGTATCAGGTAGGCAGTAGGAAGCAGGGGTACAGGTAGGCAGGAGGAAGGTAGAGCAGGAGAAGCAGGGGGGTACAGGGGAGGTCAGGGGCTGTAGATGTATCAAAGGGAGGTCAGGGGCTGTAGATGTATCAGGTAGGCAGGAGGAAGCAGGGGTACAGGGGAGGTCAGGGGCTGTAGATGTATCAGGTAGGCAGGAGGAAGCAGGGGTACAGAGGGAGGGTCAGGGGCTGTAGATGTATCAGGGGGGAGGTCAGGGGCTGTAGATGTATCAGGGTAGGCAGGAGGAAGCAGGGTGGTAAGCAGGGAGGTCAGGGGCTGTAGATGTATCAGGTAGGCAGGAGGAAGCAGGGGTACAGGGGAGGTCAGGGGCTGTAGATGTATCAGGTAGGCAGGAGGAAGCAGGGGTACAGGGGAGGTCAGGGGCTGTAGATGTATCAGGTAGGCAGTAGGAAGCAGTGGTACAGGGGAGGTCAGGGATGTAGATGTATCAGGTAGGCAATAGGAAGCAGGGGTACAGGGGAGGTCAGGGGCTGTAGATGTATCAGGTAGGCAGGAGGAAGCAGTGGTACAGGGGAGGTCAGGGGCTGTAGATGTATCAGGTAGGCAGGAGGAAGCAGGGGTACAGGGGAGGTCAGGGGCTGTAGATGTATCAGGTAGGCAGGAGGAAGGGGGGTACAGGGGGAGGTCAGGGGGTACATGTATCAGGGGAGGTCAGGGGCTGTAGATGTATCAGGTAGGCAGGGGAGGAAGCAGAAGGGGTACAGGGGAGGTCAGGGGCTGTAGATGTATCCCAGGTAGGCAGGGGAGAAGAAGAGGGGTACAGGGGAGGTCAGGGGCTGTGAAATGAATCAGGTAGGCAGGAGGAAGCAGTGGTAGAGGTCAGGGGCTGTAGATGTATCAGGTAGGCAGGGGAGGAAGCAGGGGGTACAGGGGAGGTCAGGGGATGTATAGATGTATCAGGTAGGCAGGAGGAGGCAGTGGGGTACAGGGGAGGTCAGGGGCTGTGGATGTATCAGGTATGCAGGGAGGTAGGGAGGAAGCAGATGGGTACAGGGGAGGTCAGGGGCTGTAGATGTATCCAGGTAGGCATGTGGAGGAAGTAGGTGGTACAGGGGAGGTCAAGGTCTTTAGATGTATCAGGTAGGCAGGGAGGAAGCAGGGGGTACAAGGGGAGGTCAGGGGCTGTAGATGTACCAGGTAGGCAGGAGGAAGCAGGGTACAGTACAGGGAGGTTAGGGGCTGTAGATGTACCAGGTAGGCAGGAGGAAGCAGGGGTACAGGGGAGGTCTAGGGCTGTAGATGTATCAGGTAGGCAGGATTAAAATGTTGCGGTCAGGGGCTGTAGATGTACCAGGTAGGCAGGAAGATGCAGTGGTACAGGGTGGTCAGGTTCTGTAGATGTACCAGGTAGGCATGAGGAAGCAGGGGTACAGGGAGGTCAGGGGTTGTAGATGTATCAGGTAGGCAGGAGGGAGCAGGGGTACAGGGAGGTCAGGGATGTAGAGGAGTACCAGGTGTCAGGAGAAAGCAGCAGAGGGTACAGGGGGAGGTCTTGGGGGCTGTAGATGTATCAAAGGGAGGTCAGGGGGCTGAAGCGGAAATGAGTCCAGGTATCAGGTAGGAAGCAGTAGGATGCAGAGGTGCAGGGAAGGCCAGGGTCTTTGGAAGGTATCAGGTAGGCAGGAGGAAGCAGGGGTACAGGGAGGTTAGGAGCTGTAGATATAGGGAAGGGAGGTCAGGGGCTGTAGATGTACCAGGGTAGGCAGGAGGAAGCAGGGGTACAGGGGGAGGTTCAGGGGCTGTAGATGTATCCAGGTAGGCAGTAGGAAACGGTGAGTGGGGTACAGGGAGGTCAGGGGTCTTTAGATGTATCAGGTAGGCAGAGGAGGAAGCAGGGGAGGTACAGGGGAGGTCAGGGGCTGTAGATGTATCAAGGGGAGGTCAGGGGCTGTAGATGTATGAGGTAGGCAGGAGGAAGCAGGGATACAGGGGAGGTAAGGGGCTGTAGATGTATCAGGTAGGCAGGAGGAAGCAGGGGTACAGGGGAGGTTAGGGGCTGTAGATGTATCAGGGGAGGTCAGAGGCTGTAGATGTATAGGGTAGGCAGGAGGAAGCAGGGATAGGGGAGGGTTAGGGGCTGTAGATGTATCAGGTAGAGGCAGTAGGAAGCAGGGGGGTGCAGGGGGGAGGTCAGAGGTCTTCAGCTGGAGATGTATCAGGTAGGCAGGAGACTGGAAGCAGGGGGGTACAGGGAGGTGAGGGATATGATGTAGATGTATCAAGGGGGTCAGGGGCTGTAGATGTATGAGGTAGGCAGGAGGAAGCAGGGATACAGGGGAGGTAAGGGGCTGTAGATGTATCAGGTAGGCAGTAGGAAGCAGGGGTACCGGGGAGGTCAGGGTCTTTAGATGTATCAGGAAGGTAGGCAGTTTGAAGCAGTGGTACAGGGGAGGTCAGTGATGTGGATGTATCAAGTAGGTAGGAAGCAGTGGTACAGTGGTCAGACAGGCAAAGAAGTGTATTGTTGGTGTTGAAATGTGACAATAAGTACTAAATGTGAATTTGTCAGAATAAATTGAAAATGATATCTATTTTATATATTTTTTCTTGTCAGGCTATGGAAGTACTAAAGATGTTATTGATGATGGCTCACATGGAGCTTTCCTTGGGGCGTTAGTTAAGGCCCTGAAGATGACCCGCCCAGTGGTGGTCAGCCCATCAATGAGTGGTGGCTTCTCCCTTCCCTTTCTGTTTGACCAGCCAGAGACAGCTGAAGACAGGAGTCGTGGATACCTACCTGTTGCCCCGGTAGCCACAAGTAAATATACAGAAGCATACAGTAAGAGCAAGGTAGGTTTTCCTGTAAGATTAGATAAGATAATTCTTTATTATCCCGAGGGAAATTTTAGTTACATCGTAAAACATATAGAACACACAACTAAAACATGGAATCTCAACATATCACATTTCAACAAGCACTAAGATTATAAACAAATAAATAGGTAAGAGCACTTAAATGGCGAAAGAGTAAGATATGATTTAATGGAATGATGAGATAAAAAATAGCAGTGGTGTAAAATGGTTTACATGAAGGTAAGATGATAATGAATGAATATGAAGTGTTACGGTTAATAATTTGCCGTGACATAAGGTTTAAAAGTCCCTTTGAACCAGCAAAATAGAACTCAGACAAGTCTAAAATATTCAATAATATATTGAGCAAACAGTGAGCAAGGTACAGTGAATGACAATACAGATTTCTAGTACAATGTAATTGAATCACAAATCTAAAATATTGGGTCACAAATATTAAATATTTACTCACCAGAGTCTTGACATTACCGTGAGAACAGATATACTGATTGAAGGTTGTTTACAATGACAGCAGCTTAATAGACAAGCACAGTCAATCTTGAAATGTTGATCAACTTGACGATGGCAGACAGATGTGTATAAATCCAGTCATGTAATTATTCCCATGTCACACTACTCAACAACCAGCCTTTATATAGCTCTTACACAGTTCTCGAGCATTCTAGCAAAGCTAGGCTCCCTCATTATTCTCTCAGAATGCCATGGAACCACGTGGAAAACACAAGACGTGACAAGACCCGGAAGTCAAAACAAAATAAAACCAGCCAATGGTAGCTATCAAAAAGGCGTGCCGCTACAAATACTATTGCCATTGAACATATATGATGCGAGATGCGAGCCAAAACCCACACTCAAAACTTTAAACATTGTGGCCCAAAATAATTATCACTTAATCAATGTGATATTACAAATTACAAAAAACACACTCTCATAACAGAAGATTAACTGTTGTTAGAATAATGAATACCGGCTGATACAGAAGAATGACTGAACCTATTTGTTCTAGCTATCGGAATGTGCAGGATGACCTATGGCAGAAACATGTCTGTGAATCCATATCGGTGCAAAAAAAACCAACTTTTATGACAGTGTATTAGAAGTCTGAGGACGTCATATACAGAAATGGTTTTAATATTAAAAATGTTTTCTGTGCTTGATTTCAGATTCCAACCATGATAGTTTATGGTGAAAATGATACAAATTTAGGAACACGTAGCCTAAAAGACCTGATCAAACTTCCCAACAGCAAGCCATTTGTCATCCCTGAAGCCGGTCACGCAGCCTACATGAACAACCCACCATTCTTCCACAGACTGCTGTACAATTTCCTAAATATTATTGCTGCTTACAAGTGAACATTATTATGAGGGAATGTTCGTTTTTTGTTAGAGTCTGAGTTAACTATGTGCTATAAGGCTTGCTTCATCAGGTATACTTACACAGGCATACCAACACAAGCTTACATGCACTGGCATAGATACACAACCATACTTACACAAGCTTACATGCACTTCCATAGATACACAACCATACTTACACACGTATACCAACACAAGCTTACATGCACTGGCATAGATACACAACCATAAACGCTGACTGATTGATCAATCGTTCTAGCACTAATACTTACACAAGCATACCAGCTCAGGCATATTTACACAGGCATCCTGCACAGGCACACTTATGAAAGGGTTATGTACACAGGAATACTTACAGAGGCATACTTGAACAGGCTTACCTGCACAGGCATAATTACAGGTACACCGATATACTTAGCAGTCTTATACTCAAGTCTTTTGCACTTCAGTTACAGAGGTTAGCAGACATGGCAAGAGGTATTTGTTTTTACCATGATGTTTGTTTTCAGGCTGGCATGATTGTATATTAGGTTTTTTGTTCACTTTTGTAATCGGTTGATACAATAGAAGGTTGAGCAAGTTGTGTGTTTTGTTGATGTGTACTGAGAAATGTGTTTGGGCAGGAAATCAGGAAGTCCATATAATGGCTGGGTTGTATGGAAACTACTAATGTATTCGGATTTCAGACTTGTGTGTTTCTAATGTTTTTTCTGTTATGCTATCACTTTAATCACCATTAATTATCACAATTTGTCAGTTCATATTGTTTTAAGATGTACATTATGATACTGTTGTATATTTTATTTAGTGTTTCATAAGTTCACATATGTGTGCAAATTATGATTTTCTTGTAGTGGGATGTAAGAGTGCCTTGTGTTTAGTGAGTGTACTGTCCTGCATAATGGCTGACTTGAGGTGACTCCTTGTGCAGACCTACTGTAACATAGGTACGTCGCCCGCAAGATGTTTGTCTTCTCAACAGTGTGATCTCGATGTGCCTACAAATTACAGTAACCATGGTAACGTGATCATGGTCTTGTTAATGTCCTTGTTAGCAAGGATCCCCCCCCACCCCCTTGTCCTGTGCCGATGTTTGTATTCTGGGCTTTACATGCATCATTGTGGGATAAGATATTAAAAACACATTACATCATTTTACATTACAAATTACATGACTTATTTCAATTAAACAAGTTCAAATTCTGCCAGGCACATTTTGTATGCTTTAGGGTATTATATTCGGGGTTTTTTTTACTTTCCTCATTATCTCAGTGGTCTACTGGAGATAGAGCACCTGTTATCATGATTATGAAGAATTTTCAGTTATCAATTAATGTATATAATCACAAGTACATGTGTGCATTTGTTTGTTGTTAAGCATGTGTGTATGAGTGAGTGAATGTGGTTATAAGCTATTGTCAGCAAGACAGACTGAATATTTTTCCTTATCCTGACTCATGCTTTTTTGCTTGCTCTCTTTCTCTTGCAAACGATAGTGGAAACACTTGAATCCCTTTTTGAAGCTCCCTTCATAAAAGCAGACCTAAAATCACTCACCACAAGTAGCCTCCCTTGCCTGTATTTTTCCCAGGCTTTTGGTCACATGACCCGGCCTGTCTTGTCACTCTCTCCTCCTTCGCCCATGTGGGCGGTTGTGAGAGCACCTGAGTCCCGATACAGCATTTAATATCCTTTTCATTTAGGCCTATACCGCAAATTCTCCTGTATACGGTTTTAGGAATATCTACACCAGCAATATGGTTTGAAATTTTGATCTAAATTTGCAGATTTTTCACGTTGTTTTCATCGTGTTGTCATTTCATGAAAACTTGTATACAATGCAAGTTACGTTTGTCTGCGGTTGATCCACATTCATTATGTCCTAATTGTAATGTCATATGTTCTTCCAGCTCTCGCTGTCATTTATGTCAGCATTTATCACAAATTCAATTTGATTGTTTTCTGTGTATAGACGTGCAAAGGATTGGCATAGGAGGCATTCTCAAGTCCTGTCTAAATTGTAATAGCGCTAATAACCGTTCATTAACCACTGTTACTGAAGTTCATCATTCTATCGTTTTGCCAATGGACGTCCCGGGGCAGGTCGCTGCAGTTGACACCCCCAGCTCTAAGAAGAGACCAGGTCGTCATCTTCGCAGAAGAAGAGATCAGCGACCAAGACTTCATCCAAGTCGACGCTACCGAGATCCTTCACCGCTTACATCGTTCCTGTGGACGAAGTAGATGTTTTTGACGACCCCCCGATCCTCATACCAAAGATTGTCCCCGTCAGCAGAAGGAAGCCATCTGCTACTACGACGTCGGCAACTCCATCTACGCAGACACGGACTGAGGGCCCTATGTCAGCGCAGAAAACAGGCATCCCTGATGTGACGCCAACGCAGACACTATCAGCACAGACCTTCGACCTGGGAGCCTTTATGCAGCAGTTTACTCAGCAGATGATGCAACTGATGGAACAGCGCTTAGCGCAGGAGAAGGCTGCAGCAACAGCATCATCAAAGACAACCCTGCTCGAAGGACCGGAAGGCACCTCGACGCATTCCACTGAGGGACACCTGCACGAAGGAGGGAACCTGCACAAAGGATCCAGACGACCTTCCACGGCACCTACAACATCGACAGCCACGCAGAAGGAGGACGCACCTGCACGCAGACGGCGGAGGAGAACATCTACCATCTCGTCGATGCCTTCAGATGTGGACCATCAGGACCCTGCACGCAGGCACTCGCCCTCACGAAGACTCAAGACTACATCCCAAGAATCTGATGTCAGCCATTTGCCTGCACGCAGTTCTTCTGGAAGGTCTCCACGCAGGTCTCCACACAGGGTTACTCACAGAGGAAGGTCGCCCTACAGATCTCAACGTACACGAAGATCACCTACACAGTCTTCACGCAGGTCTTCACGCAGGCCTTCGCGCAGGTCCTCACACAGGTCTCATGTCGGAACATTTGGCATCCACGTCAGCAGGGATAATGCTCCTCAGGAGACAAGGACTTCTATCATCCTGCTCTTGGAATGAAAGCTTCATGGTCAGCACCATCCATCTTTGATGGCGGAATTGAGGGCGTAGCCAAAGAAGTCGCACAGGAATCAAGGGAGGTCATAATGATCAAGTCCATCGATACTCTCGCCAGCGTGATCCGTCAGACGTCTCAGTGTTATTCCAACAAATTGAAGTTTGCCGGCGTACAGAAGGGCAAGGAAAAGAAGTACGCCTCCTCCAGAGTGAATAGAGGCTCTTTTCTTCACCTATCCGGATCTACCAGAAGCAATCCCGGAAGAGGCCGAGCACCCAGAAGTACAGGAGGATTTAAACGCTGATGGACGGTTTCGGAACGACTGGAGTCTTCCACCCCCAGCCGTTCCCGTACAACCTTCAACAATGGGTGAACGTCTTCAACGCTACTGACAAGATTCAGCTAAAAGACACATGACCACTCATGGTCTCCAACTACGCCTCCAACCAGATAAACCAACTGGACCACGCCATCACGTCTCTACTAGAGAAACAGGCAGTCGAGGAGATAAAACAGGAGGGCGTCACGCGAGGGTTTTACTCCCCAATATTCCCTCGACCAAAGAAAAACTCAGGGAAAAGTTACGACTGATGTACAACATGAAAGAATGCAACAAAGAATTTCTACACAGTCCGCCACAGTTCAAGATGATACATCTACCTCAGCTGCGACGACTCATCCGTCCACTAGACTACCTCGCCAGTATAGATCTACAGGATGCGTACCTACACATACCCATACATACAGAATCAAGGAAATACCTCTGATTCCTCTTCAAAGGACGGCACTTCCAATGGAGGGTTCTACCTTTTGGAATATCATCGGCCCCCTAATTGTTTACTCGAGTGACGAAGCCCATAGTCGCATACCTACATCGTCAAGGTCTCACGAGTGCTTTGTACCTGGACGACGGTATACAGGCCCATCTAGATCCCAGTCAACTCAGACTACAACTAGACTTCACAATCAGACTCTTCACTCAACTCGGATGGCTGGTAAACTTCCTCAAATCGGACTTGGAACCCCAACAGGATCTCCAATTCCTAGGAATACGGCTCATCACATCCATGAATGGCATAGTTGTCCCTCAAGATCGTTGGATCAAGATACAACAGATGATATCTCAAGCGACACTCTCTCCGTTACCACTACGAGAATGGCAAAGTCTACTAGATCTCCTCACCTCAGCTCGAGACATGACTCGCATGGCGGCCGACTAGAACTTCTGACGACCACTGCAGATGTTTGTGAGCACATCTCAACGACCTCCAACCCTTCGGGCCGACGGACGATTTGAAACCATACCTACTATAGTGGACTCGGAAGTCGAATGTTTGCAGAGGAACCTAGTTACGAGAGCCGGTTTGCAACAAGCACCTGTATGCAGATGCATCGCTACAAGGATCAGGCGCACACCTCGACAATGAAGTGGCAGCAGGCAAATGGTCGAGTCAAGAAAGGAATCGACACATCAACATGCTAGAGATGAAAGCAGTAATCAACGCCTTAACCCACTGGTCCAGGGTTCTCAAGAATGCACAACTGATGATCCACACGGACAACTCCACAGTAGCGTTCTACATAAACAGACAAGGCTCAACAAGATCTCGCAATCTGCTCGAACTCTGCTTCCATCTGTTCAACATGGTCGACGACCTGAACATCCACATGAAAGCATGTCACATTCCAGGAGCCAAGAATGTCATAGCAGACGCTCTATCTCGACCCGCTACAACCATCCCGACTGAATGGATGTTACATCCAGAAGCGTTCCGATGCATCATACAGGGAATAACATCACCAACGATAGACTTGTTTGCGACCAAGTTCAACAAACAACTACCAACATTAGATCTCACCGCATTCCCAATCCACAGGCCTGGGCAACAGGCCCTTAATCTCTTGGGAGGGACTCAACGCCACGGCGCTTCCACCCCAATTTTACTACCACAAGTGCTACAGAAAATCAGCCAGACAAAGAGCCTACAACTGATTTTGGTCACACTAGCTCTACGCAGGTCCACTCGCACATTATATGATGACAAATGGCAGAAATTCGAGCTATATGCAACGAGGAAAGGCTTCACAGCGATGAAAGCTACTCATCCTCAGGTGGCGGAATATCTATGTCATCTACCTCGGACGAGACATCTGGAAGGCTCAATGCTGTCCACCTACTTGGCGGCCCTTAGCACGGTTATCACCATGAAAACGGGAATCAAGCTAACTAAAGTCCCAGAGATACTGGCACTACTACGCTCCTTCAAGTTGGAAGATCAACAGCGTAAATTCAAGGCTCCTGCTTGGGATCTCAACGTAGTCTTGCAGCATCTCACCAGCGACGCCTACAAACCTTTAGACAGGACATCCTTCGAGTTGCTAACTCTTAATACACTATTCATCATCGCCTTGGCAACAGCGGCACGGATGTCAGAAATACATGCTCTGGACTTTGAACGATCACGCTTCAAATCAAGTCATCGTGACACAGTACACTTAGGACTGAGATGGGACTTCATAGCGAAGAATCAACTGCCTGGTAAACCTGACAGACAGTTCCACATCCCAGCATTATCTACAGTCCTGGGCCCACAGGATAAACAAGACCTATCCTTATGCCCGGTCAGAGCATTGAAAGTATATCTACAAAGGTCAAAGACCAGGAGATGAAAATTCAAGCGCCTTTTCATCCGTATAACTACGGAGACGCAGGCTGAAGTCTCACGTACGACAATATCAATCTGGATGAGAGCCGTCATCCTAAGAGCCTACAAAGCAGCCGGACTAGAGCCTCCACGAGCTTCCAATCCACATGAAGTTAGAGCCTTGGTGTCTACACTCGCTCTACATGGAAACTGCTCCATCGCTACTATCATGGAGGGCTGCTTTTGGAAGTTGGACACGGCGTTTGCCAACCACTACCTCAGACACATCGCCAACGAGGACGTCCTAGGCATTCACCAGTTTGGTCCGCTTGATGTAGCACAATAATTGTTCCACAAAGGCGCTGAGATAAATCTCACCCTTTATCCCGTGACTTGAGAAAGCCCACACTCGTAAGAGTAAGAGCTTAAGTCCATGCGCACGTCTAGAACAGGTTAGCATGAGTGATTAGACCCAGTACTCGTAAGGACTTATTCGTACATGGAGGAAGGGTCAATGCTCCACTTAATGCCATCATCAAAAGATGGAGCTACAGAAAAGAACCACACCTGTAGTCACGAGATGTTTTGAACAAATCTGACAAGCTGTGTTTTTTCCCCTTTCCCCTTTCCCCCTTCCAAAAAGGGATTCAAGTGTTTCC